TAACAATAACCCCAAAATATTATCCTTTTGCAGATGGATGAAGATTATCAAATGATGGATGTAAGAGTTCTTTTCCTTTTAATATAAAAATAGAACTAACAATATTTAGCAGGAAGATAATAATGTTCTATCACTGAGAGTGCGCCGTGATTGGTAACTCTTATAATGTTATAATTTGTGATAGACCACTGGCGGGTAATTAAATGGTACGCAGTATTCATTTATTTAATGGAGAAGGGGCTGATCCCCTTTCATACTGCTCAATGATACTCAAGTTTATAGCTAGTTATAGGCGGCTCTTTGTTTACGTGATGTTCCTCATTAGCATAAGCTTATTTGGTTTTAAACAATCTAAATCCAAATCTGAACTGAATATTAACAAATATCAGCTCAGTTAGCACCCTACGAGCATTTGAGCTTAATATATCTAATAGATTTCGCATAATATGGCTTTAAAAACTACGAAATTTGCTAAGAATGTAAGGGCTCATAAGCGCTTTGCAACACAGACTTTGCAACACAGAAAAAAACAACGAAATAAGAAAACTTAMATCAAAACTTAGAAAACCTAGTAAATCTATTATAACATTTAAACAATGACGTCAGCAACAATTCACCTACATCGATTCCCTTGTTGGCATCATTTTTTACACCCTCTTATGAAGGTTTCCACTAGATATTGGCACTCGCTGAAAAATTGCACAACTGTCAATATGAGTTTTATTTCACCACCTTTCTTTTGAAGTTTTTATTTTTTTACACATATTTTTTACATGCCTGATTTCTGCAACAGAGGCATTTATTGCCATTTTCTGAATGATAGCTATGGAGCTCGTGAAATGAGAGATAATAGCCCATTGGTTATCGCCTTATCGGCCTAATGGGATATCAGCTGAAATTCCACTCCACCTCGACGTGTAAGAACAAATTATCATATATTGAGATAATCTTTAGCAGACACGTCACCAAGTCGAAACCAACAGATTAATTGATGCAATAGTGGACAAATATGTATAAAGATTTCAATACACGGGAATTTCAAATATATCAATTATAATGAACAATTCTGAGCATATGATATCTTTTTCTTTTTGAAGATTGATGAAGATGACGTGGAATTCATGGAGGAAAGCACAGATGTGGATTTCGGGGTAGGAATGACATAAAGACCCCGGGGGGGACTCCCTAATATCAAAGGGCGGGGATCCTCGGCGGAGATTGTGAATATGAACCCTAAAAGGGGCCTCTATTGTGAGATGATGGGCGTGGCAGTGCTGAAATTCCAACCCTAAAAGGGACCAATCAATAACAAGTCATTTTGTTTTGGTTTACCGATTTTATTTTTGTTCTTATACAATCATCGAATACCGCCGGCTCGTATTGAATTTATGACGACGCTGCCATTTTATGACTGCTTAGGGTCGCCGTATACCCTAAAAGGGACCACAAAACTCAGTTGGTAGGAAATCTTGTTATGAACACCCTAAGCGGGACCAAAATACTGATTTCAAACCCTAAAAGGGACGCCGAGGAACCCCGCTCTTTCATATTAAGGACTCATTTGAATGAATTTTCTGAATGATAGCTATGGACCTCGTGGAATGAGAGGTAATAGCCCATTTGTTATCACCTTATCGGCCTAATGGGATATTAGCTGAAATTCCACTCCACCTCGACATGTAAGAACAAATTATCATATATTGAGTTCATCTTTAGCATGATTTTTAAGACACGTCACTAAGTCTTAACCAACAGATTAATTGATGCAATAGTGGACAAATATGTATCAATATTTAAAGA